TGCGAATGTGGTTTTTTGAAAGTCTGAGACGCTCTACCAAATTTTTTGGCTTTAGGTCCATAAATTACAACATTTGAATATCATAGTACGACACTAATTATCTTCCTCAACTGTAAGTGTTGTAAGGATATGTTTGACTATAGATACAAGGAGTGTCTTCACAAGCATGTATCAATCATAAGTCATCATCATCGGGAAACATCATCGTTCCTGTCCTTCTTTTTTCTCTTCTTCTTGTATTATAAGTTAATTTTCTTAGGGCATTGATAAACTATATGGCATTGTCTTTGCACCTTAAGCATACTATTTCCCTACTTTTAGTGTTGGGCATGTCATAGTGTAAGGATCCCGAGTATAAACAAAAAGATATAAATTAGAAAGTACAAGATTTGTAGGGGTGTACAAAAAGAACTATGAAAATGTCTGCAGGAAATTCAAACCTAAAAAGTCTTTAATTTTCTCAAACTTTTAGTTAATCAGCCATTTCTTCTTCTATCTCCATTCAATGAATTTAGAGATTTCTTTTACAACTCCTTGGGTTTCCATAAAAAATTGACTATTTATTTACTTATTCTTGCATCTGTTCTTTCTTTATAAATCAATTATTTTCATCTGTGTAATCAACCAATGAATGAAATATTTTGAATACATTATCATTATTTCTCTCAAATTTCTATCTCTCTCTCAATATCTATCTTTCCTCTTTGATTTTCTATCTCTTCCTCTTGATATTCTTACTCTTATCTTTTTCAAATCATTCTATTTCTTCTCTCACTTTCCTTCTCTTTATCTCAAATCTAAATACATACTTTTTAAAAATAGAACCATGTGCCTGAGTCATGACACATAGCCTAATTTTGTGATAATTAGCTTGACTTGTAGCTCATTGTATACAACCTACTTGCACATCATAATTTTCTCCAAAGTTTCCCATAGATGTTGATTCCACAATGAAACATTCAAACTCCCTCCAAGTTGGATACCCAAAGTAGGCTTCAATGTCTATGACATCTTGGTAAGTTTGGATTGTTGTTGCACGAGGGTGCTGAATTAACTCTCTTTTAATATCAGCTCTGAGTCCTGCCTTGAATCTAAATGCTGCTTGACTATTATCTTCAACTGACTCCAAATTTTTAATTTTTCTAACTTCCAACATATTTAGTTAGAGATATGTTACCATGAGTTAAAGTGTAAGCTCAGTCACAATGTTTGCTGAAATAGCCGGGAGGTAAATACTTTTTAAAAAGAATGGCTTTCATCTCACTCAACGCTTCAATTTTGGTTGTCTCCTCGCTATATTCTCATCAGCACTGTAACATTATAATTTTGCAAGTCCAACCAACTTTATTTTTACAAATCTAATTCTTCAGGCATCTAACATGTCATACTAGTTAAATATTCTTCAATTGAGTTAAGTCAATCGAGGAAGACATCAAGATCTCTTTATCCATCAAAATCAGGAGCTTCCACATTTTACCTTCTTGATAATATCTCCAGCATTCATCTTCAACAATTCTTCTACTGGGAGCAGCAATCTGTACAACTTGCTAATTTTGAGCTAGCAGAACTACTTGTACAACGCGCAAGCGTCTCAATTCTTCCAAGATTGCTTTAATTTTGTTTTGCATTATCTCGAATTTAGTATTGTTTCTGCCTCGTACACATCTTGCTTAGAATTTATTAAGCATTAATTACCATTATGGCTGAAATTTCTCTTAACTAACACCGGAGGAGTTTCGCAGCTGTTTGGACGTAAGGTTTTGAGATTTTGAGCACATGATGCTTTTATCTCTGATAACAAATTGATATAGGATAAATAGGGTCTATTTGTCCACTTGTAGATTTGGAAACGGACCTAGATATCACACCTATGTTACTTAGTTATCATGCTTGAGATTTGATTGAATTACACAATTAAGTATTGAGAAATTCCTAAAAAAGCTATTAAATAATTGATTGATACTCTCAAGGAGGTTACAGAGATATTTATAGAGTGTGAAATAAGTCTCTCTCAAACAGACTAGCAAAGTATTTAAACTAGCAAGATAAGGAATACTACTACGCCTATGTGCCATTAGTGCAAACCCCTAGCCCTGATGGCTTCTATATGACCTCCTTGCAGAGAAAGCAGAGAGATGTTAAACATGCCTCATTAATTGTTCAAGGAGTTCCACCTAAATAGAGAGATTGCCTCCAACCTTATGCCACTTTCTTGTTCTCAGCCACTTTCTAGTTCTCATCTTCAAACTCAGGATGTTGGTTGCATTTATAAGCTTCTAACCAAGGTCCGTTCAATTAGACTAAGATATGCTATGGAGAAAGTGATTTTGTTGGATGTCTTCGAGGAGATGTCTATGGAGAAAGTGATTGGGAAGCCCAGTCAGCCATTTCCAACGAAAGAGAAATTCTAGATGCAGTGCTAGTGGCTAATGGAAAAACTGATGCAGCCATCAAGGACAAAGTAGGAATGTTTTCAAAAGTAGACATAAAGAAAGCATGTGACCATGTAGATTGGAATTTCATTTACTATTGCAGCACAGGTGGCTCTGGTAGTAAATGGTATATTCGGCTTTAGTAATGAATCTCTATAATCTCCTTTACAATGCTATCTAATGTGGGTTCTTCCTCCTTTTTCTAACCTTCCAGAGGATTGCATGAGAGGAACCTTTCTCCCTCCTATTTACTTTAAATAATAGTGAGCCAACCTGGAAGCTTTCCCCCAACTAGCTACTCTCATGGTGCTCAGAGGAAAAGATACGTGTGACTATTATTCTGATGGGCTTAACTGGGCTGTCAATGGCGTTTATATCCTCTAAAGTCTTGGCTTGAGATTGTATCCAAGTTAACAAGAACAACAAAAAGCTGATTGCTCTGGTTCCCCCACTCCATTTTTCGGACCATTTGGAGCAATAGAAAAGTGCTTGATGATATTATACTTAAATTTTCCAGGATTAGAAAAAGTCCCAAACCTTAATTCCAAACCTTACGGTTTTTGTTCAAAGATCATTTCTCTTCATTTTGGCAAAGATCCTATGGACCTTTTTAGACATTTTGATTGATCCTATTTTGTAAGTTTTTCTTTCAAAGCTTGCTTTTGTACTCAAGTGGACCCCCTTAGTGCCGTCTATCTACAATATCTTATTTTTTCTCAAAAATAAAAGATGGCAAGACCAGATTGTTGATCTCTAAATAACTTGGTGCTCCTTAAGGTACGGTTCATGTTCTCTTCTTTCTGGGCACAGTAGACAGCCACTAATAAGCTTCTGGAGATATTAAGGTTGTCGGATGTTTGCAAATGAAAAAGTTGCCAATTATAGACAATACTGCTGGGAGATGGGAGAACCTTGAAAATGAAATAATCACTAGGGTTTTAAAGGTGATGAACATTAAGTTGATAAGTTCAACATCTAGCGATATCCTTTTTCTTCTATTTTTACTCCAATTACAGGGATAAGTCCAGCTGTTGTTACACTGAAATTCTTATAACTCCACTAGGTAAGAGCTTACTTCTGATTTTTCTATCCTTTTTCATCATTTTCTCTTTTTGATTTTGGTGCTCTTGTTTATCATGTAGATACTCACCTGGATGAGGCTGCCTTGGAACAGTGTGATGATATTTCTTTTTGAACTTGTTAAAAAATTATAGTAATATCAAATAAAACTTGTATAAAGTTTGGATGAACACTCAACCAAATGATTGCAATGTAAACTACCAACTAGACTGAAAAAGGAGTAT